CACTCAAGATATGAAAAGTTACACCTAGGTTTTATCGGTCCCCTTCACCAAAGAAGTGAAAAACGCACGATGGCATCTTAATAAAACATCATCCTCTTGCTCCTCACCTCAAGCCTCATCTCCTAAATTGAACTCAGAGAGGTCTAACACACAGAAACGTGCATAAACATGCTTATTTATTCTTGATATTGTCACAGTTGGGTATTGTCAGCCGATTAGACACGCAACCCTCCTGAGCAGACAATGAACAGGCTAAACAACAAAGGTTGGTTATAAGCTAACATTATGCCAGGTAATTTTAGGCTCTTGTGTCCTAAAAATTGCTGTTCCATGTGATAAACAAACCTCAGTGACACTGTTATCTGAAGAAAGCGAGCCTCACTGACCCACTGATTCGTTTCAGACTCTTTCAAAGCTTTCACAGTTTTACAGCTGCCTCCAGTGTAAATAGACCTAGAAACACATCGACAACTGAGGTAAACAGCTGATTGACAGCCTGTACTCAATACAGATGAACTGCAGTCAGTTGTTTGTCCTGCAGAAGTTCAATGGGATTATGCACTTGAATTTTGGGGGGGTGGGGGTGTTAAAAACAAGCTGAAATCAGTTGACTGCAGTCTGCAAAAGACTGACATCTGGTGGTGAGATTTTCAGCACTGTAACTTTAACTAAAGTAGCAGACCTTTGTCTGTGCAGCTAAGAATTTTTAGAAATAAACTGCTTGGAAAAACTCAATTAAAAACCAATTAGCCAAAACATTAAAAACTAGACTACTAGTATTCAGACACCCACCAAAGGACAGATCTGATATGTGTGTGCTGCTGAGCTCTAACTTGAATGTTTAATCACCTAACTACAAATCATTAGTTTTCTGATGGATTTGAATACAGGTTTTGTTTTACTACGCTCTTGGGCTCACCAGGAGCCCACTATGATTGTTGGGGGGTCTGACACAACTTCCTGTGGGGATAAAAGAACGGTCTTTAAAGGTTTGGGACAGGTTAAATAGGGTTAGGTAGGGTAAGAGGCTAGTGAGTACACCTTCTCAGCATCTGTCCTCACAATTATTATCATAGAGGCATGTGGGACAAAATCTCAAATCAAAGTTCACGGAATGAATGTTTTAAGGTGCCAATATATCGTCCACTGTGGTCGCTTTGCTCACTCCGCACCGTCATCACACAGATACAGGCTTATACTGGCTGTTAAGCCATGAGAAGTCGCTGCAGTATTTTCCTAAATGATAGTTGTCAGGGCTGCGACAATATCGCATCACAAGCGCCGATAAGAAAGAGAAGAAGTCAAAACTGGAAACCAAGACTTTGTTGAGTGTCTTTTTCTTTAGGGGGGGGATTCTTTCTACACACTTACGTTTTCAAACAGTTGCAATTTCTCCCTCTGTGCGTCAGTACACTTGTGTCTTCAAACAACCTGCGACTTCTGCGGGGCAACGAACCAAGTTACAAAACTCAAGAGGTGCAGAACCGGCCAACACGCCACAAAGATTGGGTCTCGCAACACAGGATGTGATCTCAAAATCCTCATCAGAAACCAGCCACGCAGGGATCATTAAAGTGGCCTTACTTTGTGCGCTGCTTGTTTTACTCAATTTAAGCTCACTTTTTGCAGTTTTACATGCTGTGGTTCAGTGAAGTGGTACCAAGGAGAGGGACGTAACTTTAAATCTGATGGTGTATATGATTTGATTACACTAAAATGTTGAGAAATTAACTAAGCAATATGTTCAGGTGAAGTAACCCTGTTACAATATCTGTTTAGGCTTTTCCTCCAAAACAATGTCTTAAAATTTAGTGTTTTGTGTTTATTTTATTGTTCTGTTTTGCAGCATGGGTGCAACAATCCCTCCACCACCCAAGACAAGTGACTCATGCCAGGTGATGTCTAAAATATTATTTAATTGCCTTTTACTTCATGCTAATGTCAGAAATTACACCTCATCGTAACAAAGCGTGCTTTCTGACTTGTAGGGTGGCTGTCCCTGTGGCCCTCCACCCACCGCAGCTTCGCCTCCAGAGCCTGAGCCTGAGCCTGCGCCTGCTGTGCCGTCTGAGAGCGAGGAGAGTGAAATAGGTACTGTATGGCCCACTCAACACTTTGTTTCATGACAGCCTGGAGCTTTGATTTACATGCTGTAAATTTAATAGATTAAATGAAATAATGTACACAATTTACGGAAGATTTTTTTTAATAGAGTACACTTTAACTGCTAGTCCTTTATTTATCAATGAATGTTTTAATTAATTATAAATAAACAGAAAACACTTCTATTTACATCCTATTAAAGCATTTTAACATCATTATTTAGTACTGAAACAGACTCAGAGCTTACCCGCAATCATCTAAATTCCTTATTCTAAATATTTCAAAACTATAACAATGAGGGAGTTAACACAAGAATCAAGTAAGAATACTAAAGAGAAATTACTTGAACAGTTACCATCAGGATACAAACATTAAGTTCACCAAGGAGGATGCCGGGGAAAACACACACACACAGACATAAACATATTAAAAGATATCCAAACTGGGCCTTTATCAAGTCACCAAAAATGCACCGAAAAGAACCTGAAGCATCAACCAGTGAGGAGCACAGTGACTGGGAGAATAACACTGTCATCCACGGCACTTCAGACCCAGCCACACACTCAGACAAAAACCCTAGCTAAACAACTCAGTGCAGAGAGGAGTGCTTGGTTATAGACATGAGAGCAACCATTCCACAGACACATGGCACAACGCCTCTTCTACAGGATGAGACTGGGCTGTATGTTTGCTTTTAAAGGACAAAGGATGCTCTCCTGAGGATTCTAATGTTCACATTTTGGACAGAGAACAGGAGGCAGTCTACATCCAGTTTTGATTTAACCACCATTCGTGTTTCCACGCTGACAATCCCGTGAGCTTTTAGAGCTGAAGGGGCTTACTGGATGAGACGTGAAACCCAAAATAAGTCCAGTTGGCTTCAACTTGAGCCATTTCAGATCAGTTCCATCCAGGCTGAAAAAGCTAATGCTATCGACAGATGGAGCACAGTGGAGATGTGGCTGAACGCATGTGCAGAAAAATAGCTCACTGATATATAACAATTCTGATGTGGTCACATAAAAATTGGTGTAACATCCCAACACAGAATGTTTTTACATTA